AAGAACCACTGCTGGAAGTCGCCTGCTTTCTCTTCCCCCCCTTTCCATCTCCCCTTGCCTGCAGGCTACTCCACCTGTGGCAGCTCTGCTTCCAGCAAACGCGATGACCTGTCCCAACGCTACAGGTTTTTTTTTAGGAATTCTCAGAAAATTCCACTGCTAAAGTCGTCTGCTTTCTCTTCCTCCCTTTCCATCTCCCCTTGCCTGCAGGCTACTCCGCCCGTGGGAGCTCTGCTTCCTGCCAACGCTACGATCTCTCCCAATGCCACCATCCCTCCCAGCACCCCAGCTACCACCCCTACTCCAAGCAACATCACCGGTCCTCCCGTTAACCCATTCGACCCCCCAAGCAGTACCGCCACTGCACGCGCAAACCAAACTTCTCCCCAGCCTCCCATGATTCTCTCCCCGAATGCCAACCAAACCTCTCCTCAACCTCCCATTGCCCCCTCCCCAAGTGCCAACCTGACCACCTTGCAGCCTCAGATGTCCTCCCCCCACCGCTTCCGCCCCTTCATCCCTCTCCAAGGCTCCCGCTGCTTCCGCCTGCGCCTCACCCCGCCGCCTGTCGACTCCTTCTGGTCCGTCACTCTGTACAACGCGTCCAGCCTCAACCTGCTCGAGAATGTCACTAAGTTTGGCGTGGGCGACCGCACTCCCGGACTGCTGGTGAGCCTCTTTCTCCTCCCTCCCTCCTGTCTCAAGTTCTTCCCCCTCTTGGCTTCTTCTGGTCCGTCTGTACAGTGCGCCCAGCATTATCCTGCTTGAGAATTTCTCTAAGTTTGATGTGGGCGACCGCACTCCAGGACTGTTGGTGAGTCTCTTACCCCTCCATCTCGTCTCTTGAGGCTTTTAACCTGTCACGCTCTACAACGCGTCCGACCTCAACCTGCCAGAGAATGTCACCAAGTTGGGCATGGGCGACCGCACTCCAGCACTGTTGGTGAGTTTCTGAAACCTCTGTCTCCCACACCTTCCCTTGCCGCTGCTTCACTTCTCTTCCGGTCAGATGTTTCGGTCTGCCCCCTCTAACCTCCACTGACTTGAGAATCTACTTTTTAATTGCTAATTTGAAAAAAAAAAACTCTGCTTTATCAAGGCAACTTTGTGCTCATTTGTCTATGCAACTTCCCTCCTTTCTCTCCAACTTCCCCCCTGCTCCCTCTCACCCCACCCCCCTTCCCTGTTTCCTTGCTATCAAACTTTTGACTCCCCTCTCTTCAGTACAATCCTGACCGCACAGTTACCATCTACATTCAGCCTACTTCTCCTGGCCAATCACTTGACGCAAACTGGATCCCTACTGTCAATGCGGTAATGTTACATACGCCCGCGAGATGTCTTGCTTCTTGCTTCTTCCTTCTTCCCTTGTTCCCCTCATATTCCTCACTTCATATCACGCTCCTCATTTTTTAGACCACTCGTCCCTGTGGTTCATGTATATCTCATTTTCTCTGTTAATTTCTCTTATTTTCTCGCCCTCCATCTGAGTTCCCTAAACCACGTCATTTCTTCCAGACAAATAGTGCAGTCGTGGTGAGGGCTTATGGCCCCTCTCCTCAAATTCTCAATGAAAGTTATGAACCGGAAGCAATTCAGCTTAGCCCTACTTGTGAGATTTAACGAATTGTTAAGATTGTCGCAATTAATGGTATCTTTTATCTTGAACTAGGGCAAAGGATGCTACAACCGGTATATTGCAGCATATCCACCTTATTTAGGATTTGGTTCTGGCTTGGTTTCTATCGTAACAACTTTTTGTATGCATTCAGAAAGGATTATGCAAATTAGCGAGTTACGTTTTATATGAAACAACGAGCGCGACCATAAATGATGTTTCCGAGAATCTCGTGGAATCCAGTTGACGAGTCACACGCCCTCCGATCGTCATGTCAAAAGGCCGCAGCCAAAAAGTACGAGTCGCCATAGCTTAGGACCTTCCAGAACCCAGTAGAAGATCAGCGGAGGTTACGTTTGACCGCGGGAAAACCTATTTTGCAATTAAGAACCAGCAGCCAGTCTCGTTTCCTAGTCAATATCGAGAATGTGGGACAATTTGCTTCGGGATGTTTTCTGGGGTGTGGGTTTCCTCGCGGTATCCGCGTTAGTAGCGCTAATAACCTTCCAGGAGAAGCTCCTATACGTCCCCGTGGTTCCCGGCGCGACGCGCGAGTACCCGTTCACTCCGGAGCGCCTCCGGATGCACTTCGAGGATGTCTGGCTGACGGCGAAAGACGGAGTTAAACTCCACGCGTGGCTCTTAAAGTACAGCGCGACGACTCGAGGTGAATCGTGGGATTCACAATGCTTGTACGGTATCCGATGCTCACATCCAAAGCGCTTTCTGTTTGAGTCGGCTCAGGAAACACCTCATGCGATCCGATGCTCACATTCGAAGCGTGCGCTTACTTACTGGTGCTGCAGAATTCCGTTCAGATTGCAGGCATAATTATTTTCGGCGGACCGGAAATAGCCTGAAATCTCAAATAGCCTTGAAAATACCTCGCAAGTACTGTCTACTTCTTTCCCCTGATACTCTTCACCTCCTGCTTACAAGGCCCCTTGATTTTAAGGTCCGGTTTTACTGCTTTTCCAGATTCAGCAGTCTGTCTGCTCATGCTCCCCTGCATCCATTCATGCACTCCGCAATGATCCGCAGGTCCAACGATTCTCTTCCTCCAAGAGAATGCCGGAAGTAAGCTCCTCCCAAACCTCCACCACCTCTCCTCCCACCATACTACCTCCCACTCCTCCCTCCCTCCCTCCCTCCCTCCCTCTACTCTCCCTACCTCTGTTTCCATACCCCCGTCTGTCTCCAAGTCCGTTTTTCTCTTGCATTTGTTTGCTCTTCGCTCGGACACAGGCCTGTGTCTCTTGTTTCCTCTCGTAGTAACACCACCTCCGGCTGACTCCTTCTATACTCTCCGGGCCTGAGTCTCCCATTTCCTCGTCTTTCGTTTTTCTAGCTGTTTCTTGACCCCGTTTGGTTGCCTGTATGTTGCTCTTGTAGTTCTATTTTCTCGATCACCCTAAATCTGTTAAAATCCCACTTTATTTTCCTGCCTTGAGGGATGGCTGGATTGCATTGTCTGACCTCAGTTAGCTTAACCATCCAGCTAATGTGCATTAAGCCGCTTGATAAAATCCAGGCGTGCATTCCTTTAACCTCCTTTTATTGTTCCACCTTCCATTGTTATCTTTTCTCACGTGCTGCTCGCTCTGAAGACATCGCGCATCGCCTGGAGTCGTCGCGCTACACCATGGACCGTCTGCACTGCAACATGCTGCTGCTGTCGTACCGAGGGTGAGATTTTTTTTCCTGAGTCAGTTACAGCCGCATGCGGCATACGCAGGACGCATTGCACATTGCCCCAAGTATTTTTTGCTACGGTATGGGCCGTTTTCCTTGGAACATTGCTCCTGCTGCCATACAGAGGGTGAGATGACTCGTACAGTGGGTGAGATGACTCGTACAGTGGGTGAGATGACTCGTTCAGTGGGTGAGATGACTCATACAGAGGGTGAGATGATCTGCTACAGAGTAAGATGACATACGCTTCTTGCACACAGATGTTAAGTTGGCGTGCTACAGGGTGAGATGACGTGAGATGACATGTGAGAGGATGAGCTGAAATGCTGCAGAGTGGGATGCCATATTGCTCCCACATACAGAGGGTGCGTGTGTACAGCCTTTGAGGTGACATGCTGACATGCTGCTGCCATGCTAGCCCACCAAGGGTTGCTCCCACCCACACGGAGGGGCGGTTGACATGCCAGTGCTATACAATGGGTGTGAGGCAAATCCACAGAATAGTTTTTGGCCTCGTCCATCACCAAACATTTTACTGTACATTCTTCTCTCTTCCAACCTCTCACTCACTCATGCACACAGGGACACCCTCTCTCTCTCCCTTCCCAACCACACCCACGTGCACACCCCCTCTCCCCCCTTCCCACCCACACCCACTCAGATATGGCGTCAGTGAGGGCAAGTTGACTTTTGAGCCGACTCAAAAGTCAGCGCTTTCCCTCTCAATCATGCACGCCTGCGCACCCGCTGCTCCCCCTTCCCACACCTTTTTAGGCGTGTAAAAAAAACCCTCTCTCTCACAAACGCATTCTCACCACCTCCCACACCCACACCCAGCTATGGCGCCAGTGAGGGCAAGATGACTTTTGAGACGACTCAGAATTCTGTCTCCCTCTCATGCACGCACATACACACTCTTCCATCCCTTCCCACCCACTCCCACACCCAGCTATGGCGCCAGTGAGGGCAAGCCATCAGAGCAAGGTGACATTTGAGTCCACTAAAAAAACATCTCTCTCCCTCTCTCACACACACATGCGCAACCTCCTCTCCCCCTTCCCACCCACTCCCACTCACAGCTATGGTGCCAGTGAGGGCAAGCCAACAGAGCAAGGCCTCCGACTGGACGCGCAGGTATGGTGACTGGGGTGACGTATGGTGGTCTGTAATCTTATTTTGGGACGGCATCATTGTGACGGTCTGTATGGCATTTGGGACGTCATCATTGTAACGGTTTGTACCTTATCTTCTGGGACGCGTTCTTCATTCATCATCTCGCTCCCAAGCGCATCATTGGGTCTAAAAGGGTCACTGTATCCCACCCCACCCCACCCTCTTTCACCGCATTCCAACTCTCCTTACCTCATCCAGGCGGCATTGGAGCATCTGCTGGGGGAAGGGAGGACATTAACCCAAAGTGCATCGTTGTCTTTCAAAAAGTCAATGCATCGCATCCCACCCTCTTTCACCGCATTCCACCACTCCTCGCCTTATTCAGGCAGCATTGGATCACCTGCTGGGAAGGGAGGACATAGACCCCAAGCGCATCGTTGTGTTTGGGAGGTCATTGGGAGGGGCTGTTGGGGCCGACCTTGTGCACCGCAACCCTGGCAAGGTCAGTCATGCGCTGATTGGACCACCATGAGCTCATTTCACATGCGGTTCTCCTGGCGCTTTCTTGGAGAGGCAGTTGGGGCCAACCTTGTGCCCCCGCGCAATCCTGGCAAGGTTAGTCATGTGTCGTTTGAAACTGGAGGTGCAGGTGGTTTTCAAGGGTACCGTACCACCCGCATCCTGGTTTATGGGCGGTCACTGGGAGGGGCTGTTGGGACTCAAAAGTCGTCTGGAAAGTGCGCTGGTGCTGGCCTAGACAAATGCAACCCTAATTCTGAGTTGTTCGGGAACATATTCACGCCTGTCCCCGTCCTCCATCCTCCTCTCTCCCCTTGTTATTCTCCCTGTTTCCTATCCTCCACGCAGCCGCCCTGGTGGAAAGCAACATTCACATCCGTCCTCGACATGGCAGGGGTCGTTCTTCCTATGCTGACTCCTCTTTTATCTGCTCCCCTCCCCGTCTCCCGATCTGCTAACCCCAGGTAGCCGCCCTGATGGTGGAGAACACATTCACATCCATCCTCGACATGGCATGGGTCGTCCTCCCTGTCCTCAGCAACCTTCGCCAACCCTCCCGATCCCCCCCGATCCCCCCGATCCCTCCCGATCCCTCATTCCCGATCCCTCCCTCCCTCCCGATCCCTACCTCCCTCCCTCCCGATCCCTACCTCCCTCCCTCCCGATCCCTCCCTCCCTCCCGATCCCTACCTCCCTCCCTCCCGATCCCTACCTCCCTCCCTCCCGATCCCTCCCTCCCTCCCGATCCCTACCTCCCTCCCTCCCGATCCCTCCCTCCCTCCCGATCCCGCCCTCCCTCCCGATCCCTACCTCCCTCCCTCCCGATCCCTCCCTCCCTCCCGATCCCGCCCTCCCTCCCGATCCCTCCCTCCCTCCCTTCCCCCTCCCCCCCTCCCTTCCCCCCTCCCCCCCTCCCTTCCCCCTCCCTCCCTCATTATCTATCCCTCAGGTCGCCGCGCTGGTGGTGGAAAATACGTTCACATCGGTGCTGGACATGGCAGGGGTGGTCCTCCCCGTCTTGAGCAACCTCCTTTCAACCAAGGGCGTCAGGCCACTGAACGGGCTGGTCAGGTCGCAGTGGCGAACAATTGACGTCATTGGGAAGGTGAGGCTTGAGTTTATGCTGGTTGGGTGTTTATCAAATTCAATTCGGGAAAGCGCCCAGTACTGAGCAACCTGCTCTCCACCAAGGGCGTCAGGCCGCTGAACGGGCTGGTTCGGTCGCAGAGGCGAACCATTGACGTCATTGGCAAGGTGAGGCTGGCATTTATAAGCGCGTTTTGTTCAGAGGGGTGACTGGATGGTGGCCCTCCCTGTGCTGAGCAACCTGCCCTCCACCAAGGGCGTTAGGCCGCTCAATGGGCTCGTGAGGTCGCAGCGGCGGACCATCGATGTCATTGGCACGGCGAAGTTTGAACGCTCGGTCGACATGATGCTTTGTATGCTTTCATGTCTATGGGTACGGCCCCCATCCACGATCAACACATGCCTTTTGGAGCCATTTTTTCAGAATTCCAAAAAATTGCCACAATACATTATTGGTTCACACACCTTTTGTCCCTTGAGATTCACGCATTCACCCGCGCCTCCCACACCCTGATCCCTAGATCGACCACCGCTTTTGCCTTCCTAGCGAAAACCAGGAGCCTGCTTTTGGTGTGTATGCATTCCAGCTTTTCTTTTTAATGCCTCGGATGTAGCATTCTGTCCTCAACCAACAACCACCAATTAACGTCCTCGTCCTCTCTCTATCGGAGCAAAGGACGAGTCCGTGCCGCCCGCACACATGTGCCTCGAAGCCCAGAAGAACACAACAGGCGGCATCTGCTCTCACACTCCCTTGAACCTTTCACTCATCCCTCCCCACAGGTTGACCCTCCCATTTCATTTCTATTCGGCGCAAAGGACGAGCTCGTGCCGCCCACACAAATGCGCCTACTGTACGCCGAAGCGTAGAGACCCACAGGTGGCAGCTGCTCTTAGAATTCTTCTGCCCGTATCCCTCTACTCTTTCACTACCCCTTCCCCACATGTCAACACCCCAGTTCTCTTTCTATCCGGCGCAAAGGATGAGTGCGTGCCGCCCGCACGCATGCGCATGTTGTACACAGGGGCCCAGACAGACACCACATGTGGCAGCTGCTTTTTACACCCTCTACCCTCATCCCTGTACTCTACCTTTTCTATACCCCTTCCCCACAGGTTGACACCCCGATTCTATTTCTATCCGGCGCAAAGGACGAGCTTGTGCCGCCCGCGCACATGCGCCTGCTGTACACCGAAGCACAGAAGAACACAGTTGGCAGCTCGCTATTCGTTGAGGTGGCGGCAGGGGGGCACATGGACACGTGGCTGAGGGGGGGGCAGCGGTACTGGCGCGTGCTGAGCCTGTTTATAACGCATCATGCTGGAGGGAGTGCAGGGGGAGGGGAGGGGGAGCGAGGAGGGAACGTGGAACTTCTAGAGGAAGTGGATGAGGTGGTGAGGGAGTCGGCAGGAGAGCTGACTTTGAGAAGAGTGGCGGATGGTGCGAAGATGTGATCATTCTGGCTTCACACGCTACATGGGGCTTCGTTTATAATGTTCACCCTGCATCATGCAGGGGGGAGAGTGGGGTGGAAGTGGATGAGGTGGTGAGGGAGTGGGTGGAGGAGTTGATTCTAGGAAGAACTGTAGATGGTGCTAGGCTGTGATGTGAGTGGTTGGTTGGTCATGTGTTTTGATGTTGCTGTGGATGGACCTTCTGCCTGGCCGCTGTTGGAAATATCTCGAGGACTTGAGCGTTTCTGAAGTGTAACACCACACTCGAGAAAGATCGTAATGAGTACGCGAGTCAACGGAGGTTACACGAGGGGGAGGACAAAGAACACGAAAGGACTCGAAGGGTTGCAACCGGAGGTTGCGACTGACCGTTACAGCTGCAAGGATGGTAACCGAAGCGACAATCGAGTCGACTGTACTCAACAACTGCTTCAACTGCTTTACTTTCCTACTTTCTATATATTGCTGTATGCTTGTTCTTTTAATCAATCACTTGTTCTCACATACTAGTACAAGGGTTCAACTACTCAACTCCCGCTGCACTACTCAAGTCTCCTTTTTCAATTGGGACTTAGTCTCTGAAAGATCCGAAGGGCTTTTATCAGCCCAACAGCCGCAATATGTATGGAGGTGCAGTTGAAGTAAGGTACTGGAATGGTTTGGGGAGTGGTTGAGGTGACCATGATGCTGCAAGCTTTTGGGCATGCAACAGTAAGGTGTATCAAGTGGATGAATGGTGCAATGTCACGTCACGCTTCTGTCAGGAGAAGGCAGACAGGAAACTTCTCGATCTTGAGAAAGTACGCTGCACCGCGCTGCACCGGTACAAGGATGATTCAATTACTGAACTTCAGTGTGGTTATGGCTAGAATGCTCCGCGCCATAGAAGAACTAGTCACAATCCCACTACTGGAACTGGCCCAGATCAGGGCTTTGGATCACCTGTTGATAACTTTAGCTCACTATCGGACGGCTGAGCAGCGTGGATTGCCTACTCTCATCGCGGCTTCTAGCCGTGCAAAAATCCCAAATGTCATCATCCCATTATGTCAAATAATATGCACCACCAGCACTGCCCAAATAATAAGCAGCAGTCCACACAACCACCCACACAGCCCACATGTGAGACATCCTCGACAGATCCGAAACGACAGCACCACTTATAACCTTGCAACCCCTCCTACCCCCTGATACGTGGCACGCTCAGTGACTCAGACAGATCCAACTTGGATAAACCACCCGCACAGCCCACCTTGGATCCAACAATCCGAGTGCAATTTCCTCTACTGGCCAATCCCGAGAAGGCCGCCAAACCACGACGCGAATCCGCCAGAAGAGCTGCTCTTGGCGGTGTCAACTGGCGCGGGGGGATTCACGACAGAACTGGTGCTGTGGTAGTCGTCGCGATCGTCGCCGCTGGGCGACTTCCCGGGCGACTTGTGATAGTAGTCGTCGTCGTGATCGTCGCCGCGGCCGGGCGACTTGCTGGGGGAGCCGCGAGAGGGGGAGCGGGAGGGGGAGCGGGAGGGGGAGCGACTGGGGGAACGGGAGGGGGAACGGCTGGGGGAACGGGAGGGGGAACGGCTGGGGGAGCGGGAAGGGGATTTCCCGGGGGACTTGTAGTAATCGTCGTCGTCGCGATAGCCGGGCTTGCCGGGCGACCTACTCGGCGACTTTCCGGGCGACTTGTAGTCGTCGTCGTCGCGGTATCCCGGCGACTTGCTGGGCGACCTGCTCGGCGACTTTCCAGGCGACTTCTTCTTTCCCGCGGATTTCACGGGCGACTTGGAAGGCGACTTGTAGGGAGACCTTGAGGGCGACTTGGACGGCGATCTGTAGTAGTCGTCCGACGACGAGTGGTCGCCGTCGCTGTCGTGATAGCCGCCGCTGCTGCTGTGATCGTCGCCGTCGTGGTGATCGTCGTCGTCATGATAGCCGCCGCTGGAGAGGTCGCCGTCGTCGCTGTCTAGGGTGGAGTAAGAGCTGCTTTTGGCGATGTCAACTGGCGCGGGGGGATTCACGACAGAACTGGTGCTGTGGTAGTCGTCGCGATCGTCGCCGCTGGGCGACTTCCCGGGCGACTTGTGATAGTAGTCGTCGTCGTGATCGTCGCCGCGGCCGGGCGACTTGCTGGGGGAGCCGCGAGAGGGGGAGCGGGAGGGGGAGCGGGAGGGGGAGAGACTGGGGGAACGGGAGGGGAACGGCTGGGGAGCGGGAAGGGGATTTCCCGGGGGACTTGTAGTAATCGTCGTCGTCGCGATAGCCGGGCTTGCCGGGCGACCTGCTCGGTGACTTTCCGGGCGACTTGTAGTCGTCGCCGTCGCGGTATCCTGGCGACTTGCTGGGCGACCTACTCGGCGACTTTCCAGGCGATTTCTTTCCCGCGGATTTCACGGGCGACATGGAAGGCGACTTGTAGGGAGACTTCGAGGGCGACTTGGACGGCGATCTGTAGTAGTCGTCCGACGACGAGTGGTCGCCGTCGTGATAGCCGCCGCTGCTGCTGTGATCGTCGCCGTCGTGATAGCCGCCGCTGGAGTGGTCATCGTCGTTGTGACCGTTGTGGTCGTCGCTGTCGCTGTCGAGGGTGGAGTAGGCGCCGCCGGCTGCCAAGGCCTGGACCAGACCGCGGCGAGCGACGTTCACGGCGCTGTGCTTGCCTGAAAGAATTCGTAGAAATTATGATTCAGTCACACGAAATCAACTGCTGTAATCCCGGAATCAGCGAACAGGAAGAGAAGGGATTGCGTGTACGAAATGCAGCAACTTACTTGCGACGAGGTTGTTGCTCTGTGCGACGGTCGCGGAAATGGTAAGAGCCAGCAGCGCGAGGAGGATGGCACTGCTTGGCAGCAGCAGCCCGCTACGAGTCGCCATGGTGGCGTCTCTCTCACGTGAAAGTGAGCTAGAGGCTGAAGCTGGCGACGATGGCGGTGGTGGGCTAGCCTGGCCGAAGTGGGGTGGTTCTTCGTCGAAGAAATTTTGAGCATTTGTAGGTGGACTGGCCTTGGACTGGGTTGGGGAAAGGGGAGAATCATTGGGGAAAGTGGTCGGGGGAGATCGAAACGAAACGCGGCTCGACTTGAGAAGGTGTGGCATGGCGAATGGAAACAGAAACAAATGTGGGGGAATGGTGAACGCAGGCAGCAGGGGAGGAATGAGGGGAGGGAGGCTGGGGGAGATTGAGGATGGAAGCGGATTTGGGGAAGAGGGGGAGAACTCACCGGAGAGCCGTGCGCAGGCTCATTGCTGCGCGGCTGGCCCAGACTAGAGAAGGGTGGCCCGCGGTTCGCGGGCGAAAGGGGAACCTCGGAAGGACTTCGCGTGTGTTCGAGGGGCTAAACAGTTATTGTTTCTGCTAAGCCTTGGTCTAGTAAACGGCTGTTCGAATTTTAACCCTCCAGTACTAATTTTGCAGTAATCCACGGGCCCGAGAAGTTGGAGAGTCAGGTCTCCCATCTTGGTTTCAAATTACGGAAATACATGTTGCAGGCTATATTTCCCATTACCCAGCACTTTGGGGTCATTTCAAGATTGTATCGACATACTTCAAGCAAACTTGAGCTGTAAGCGGGCAGGTGGCACGTGTTCACACAGGTGGCTGTACCGAATTGGACCACCTCCTGAGGAAGCGTATACTTGGGGCCTGTCTCGGTTTCTGCGTGCACACTAGCCTTCGTGGCAACCGTTCAATGGTTGCACATTCCAGCACATCACCTGAGCGATTCGGGTTGACGGTTTCGCGCATGCGCTTGTAGTCGTACTTGACCATGTGTGTCGCAAATGATTGACTGACAACGACGAACCACTGGGCGACTCTCTGATATGGACCTGTCTCACCAAGACTTCAAGGGCCGACCTCGTTAGCATAGCACGAGGCTTGTACGTGTACGAGGCGAGCTGTATTTATCATTGTTTTTTCACATCGGTTATATTAGTGAAATATGTGAAATGAGACATTCTTACATTTGGATTATCTCACTTGCTATACATAAAGTGTATTACGCTATGTATAAATGGCGCTGTTTTCAAAGAACCTCGTCAAATGACTTTTTGGGTTGTGTGGCAACTTGGCCCAAAGAAGTTAGGCCGAAAATGCCTGAAAGTTTGTACATCGGAGTGGTTTTTAGGGCATACCGGTACCTTGTGTCGACCAACTTCCAGGTAGGTCAGTTACAAAATATCAAAAATTCAAATAACCGGGAATAAGCATGACCAGCAGACCCATAAGCATCCTCATTTGTTTTTAATAAGCTGAATTGAGGTAGACTGCCACACCAAGGAGAGCCGCGAGGATGCCGGCCACCAGAACAGGGAGGGACGCGCTGAATGCACGTGAGGGGCAGCCGGAGAAGAAAACGGAACAGTGAGACAGGGATGGGGACGAGGGGAAGACGGTCAATGAATGGTGGGTAGAAGGTCACACCAAGAAAAGCAGCTAGGATCCCGGCCACCAGCACAGGGAGGGAGTCGCTGAAAGCGAGTGAGAGGCAGCGGAGAAGACAAGGGAGCAGAGGCACAGGGATGGGGAAGCAAGTTGGGCAATGAAGAGGCGGGTAGAAGGCTGCACCGATGGAGCAGCAAGGATCCCGGCTACAAGCACAGGGGGCGGGGCGCTGATAATGGCGGAAGAGGACAGGGGCAGTGTGGGAGAGGGACAAGGATTAGGCAGAAAGCCACACCAATGAGAACAGCGAGGATCCCAGCCACCTGCGCAGGGAGCGATGCGCCCATGGGAAAAAGCAGGGGAGAGGGAAGTGGGGAAGCGAGGAAGCGGGGAAGCAAGGAAGCGAGGAAGCGGGGAAGCAAGGAAGCGAGGACGCGGGGACGCGGGGAATCGAGGTAGAAGGCCACACCACGGAGAGCAGCGAGGATCCCGGCCGCCAGCACAGGGAGCAAGGCACTGATAATGGGGGGGAGGGGCATAGCGTGGAGGAGAGGGACAATAATGAGGTGGGCAGCAGGGAACAGGAAGGAGGAGACGGGAAAGACTGACATAGAGGTAAGAAATGGGTGTGGTTTGGTTTAGGGTTAGGGGAGTTAGGGGAGGGGAAACACGAAACATGAAAGAGGAAATGAGAAATGTAGACATCGAGGTAAGAGATGTGTGTGGCATGGGGTTAGGGTAAGTGAAGCAGGAAGGAGAGGAGAGAGGCTGGGAAAAGGAACTAGGGGGGGGAGGGAACAGGGGAAAAGGAGGGAAAAAGGGAGGCGGGGGGGGGGGAGGGGGGGGGAGGGGGGGGGGAGGAAGAGGACGAGGGGCGAAGGGCGGGTGTGTTTGTGGAAAGGGGCCGGTTTTGGGGATCATGGTTTGGATTTGGAGGAAAGACGGAATGACATGCGCTGGGGAAAATAGCCACGGGGAAAATGGTGGACCTCTTTGTGTGATATCGTTTTTGGTTTGAGACGCCACAGACGCCTCAACGCCAGATTACTATCGCTGAGGAGCGGAGCCGCCCACGAGGGGAAATGGCGGGCCTCTCCATTTCCCCACAGACGCCTCAAAAGTAGATCCCTATCGCTGGGGCACACAGCCACGACGAGATACCTTGGGCTTCTCCCCCCTGTGCGCCTTTCTTGAAGCGCTCTTCTTTCCTGCGGCCCTCACCTCCGCCTCACCTCCGCCTCACCTCCGCCTCACCTCCGCCTCACCTCCGCCTCACCTCCGCCTCACCTCCGCCTCACCTCCGCCTCACCTCCGCCTCACCTCCGCCTCACCTCCGCCTCACCTCCGCCTCACATGCTTTGCATGCAAGGAGGTGTTGTCGCTGCCCACCCCTGTTCCCCTCACCTCCCCTCACCTCCCCTCACCTCCCCTCCTTCCCCTTCCCCTTCTTACCCGCCTCCCCCGACTCTTCAGCTGCGCCTTGCGTGCCTGCGCACGGCCAGGTCGCTGGCATTGTGCGCATTCTCCCCCTCACTCCCCTCTCCAATCCCCCCTCACCTTCCCCGCACTCCCTCCCCCCGTCCCCTCCGCCCTTGAGCTGCGCCTTGCGCACGTCCAGGTCGTTGGTAGTCCGCACACCATCCCACCCCCCCCCAAACCCTCGTTTGCTTACTGCCCCTCCCCTCCGTCTTCCCCTCCGAAGCGCCTTACCCGTCCCCGCCGCCTTTCAGTTGCGCCTTGCGCGCGTCCAGGTCGTTGGTATTGCGCACACCTATCTCACCTGTCCCCCCCTCTGATTCTGTGCCCCCCCCATCCCCCCCATCCCCCCCATCCCCCCAAAAAGCCTTACCCGCTGTCCCCGCCGCCCTTGAGCTGCGCCTTGCGCGCCTTGCGCACGTCCAGGTCGTTGGCGTTCCGCGAAACGGGCGCAGTGTACGGCTTGAAGCGGCGCTTGGGCGCGGAGCACACTGGCGGAGACGGAAAGGGGCAAAGAGCGGGGGCGGGTGGTGGGGGGACGAGGAGGGGGGAGGGGGGAGCCTCGGATGGAGCTGACGCTGTGACAGAGTTACCTAACTGCAAATATCTTTTTGAGATTTTCTTAGATCTATTTTTATTTTTTCTCAAAACCTACCAACGCGTAATGTGTAAGGTATACTGGACCGCGTAAGGTAAAGCCCTTTACAACCGTCCAGTAAGAATCGCAAGACCGATTTCGCGTCGACTCAGAATAGAGATGCACCAGCACCACCGTACCTGGGCATCGGTAGGTGTCTGGAAGCTTCTCGAAGGGCGTCCGCGAGTTGTAGATGTACCTGCAGTGGGGAAGACGCGATTAAAGTAGACCAACGGGAAATGAAGTCACTTGAGTTACCAGGCGCTACTTGAGCAAGCAAAGGAAACAATCTGAAAATGTACCCCAGACACGCACGCGGAAACGTAAGGCACAGGAACAGAGTCAGATGTACGGACACGGGCATGACACGTGGCGGATATACAAGTCCACCTTAAGGCTCACCCGCAGTCCCGGCAGATGTAAGCGCTCGCCATAGTCACGCGCGGCGGCCCGGAAGCGCCACCCGATAGTGTCAACGGCGCCGCATTGGCGACGCTGACAGCCGCCGAGGAGATCGCGCCGCGGGACGAGCGGAGGCCCGCGCTGCCCGCGAGAAGCGGGGAAGGCTTCGGCTTGGCAGCGGCGGGAGTCGCGGCAACGGCGCGGGGAACCGACGCGAGGGAGTGCGTGAGTGCCGTTGTGCACGCCATGATTACTACTGATGCAATGTGCGGCTTGGCTTGTGGAATGACGGTGTGTAGTGGTGTGCAGGATTTCACTTTGATCGCGAGGGGAGGATGCGATGTGCTGGCGTGCGTGAGAGAAGGCGCACGAGAACGGCTCAGCGGTAAAGGAGAACGGAGCAGGCGGTACTAGGTCTCTGCGATGCGGAACGTAGACCGACGGCTTCCGTTGTTTGCTCCAGCTTCCCTTCGTTAACCTCTGGCTTAGGCCAAACTAGCTGTTTCCTCTGCTGTTACTCCTGCCAAAGCCAACGAAACTAGAACTTGAGAATTTTAGGACCTGTTCAGACAGACGTTTTCACACATCCAGGGATCTTTCTTAGCCAGTTCAGTTCTACTCGATTTGTGTGATGGCTCACCTTGCACTGGTTTCCCAGATGCAGGAAAACCCTGTAGGGTACTTCGATTATGACGTGTCCGAAGTGTTTGTTTGCGGTTGAATAAGGTTGGGAGATATTAACTAAACTAAAAACGCACTCTTGGGACACGCCCTTCAAACCCTGAACACGTAACACGAAGCCACTTCGCGATTGGTTCATCGGCGTCATCCGTTGTCTAGATGACGGAAGCGCTACGCCCTTATTGATACGAAGAGTTTCCGCATGGTTGACAGGATTCTGGATGTGAATAGATGACGGGGCGTGCTGAGGGTGTGTGGCTGTCCAGATCTTGCCACGCTGGATGGAGTTCTCTACACATGGCTCGGAAGAAGCGATGACGCGTGGCGTGGCGCGTGCTGGTTCGATGTGGCATGTGGCTCTCACAGGTTTTTTGCATCCTCGGTATGAGATGTTTAGATTTGTATGAGCATTGCGAGTCAGATGCTGTATCTATTAGCACGAAAACATTGCAGTATTTATCACCCTCGATCCGTCGCTGACGGCCCTGTGACGTGTCATCGTCAGCGACAATTTCGCCGCAGACCCATCAAGCTGACATCACTCTACTTTTCTCTCATCGCCAGTATGCGAACAAACTTATCAAAGAGCATGCAGAACGTTCCCATCCCAGTGAGCCCCTGTCTGCGAATTCGATTGGTCGCATCCAAAGCAGAACAAAGAAAGGAATGTGTGGCACGTGAGCAATCGAGAACAAGGTAACTCAACGAGGTTCGCCAATCGTCAATGACGCATGGGTCCGCACGAACAGACCAGGGCAGCAAACGAAATCTTCCTACAATAAACTATTTCGCCCCTCCCTCGCATTCGCCCGCATGTCATTCCTTTGCCTCCTCACCTCTCCTGCATCACACCTAGCAGCAGCATTCATTCGCGATTCCCCAGCGCATTAGCTGACATTCCCGATTGAGGGACATTAGTATCTCTCCTCAACCATCCCTTACCGGTTTCTCCTCGGGCTATTCATCGCAGTTACCTCAATTCTCCGCGCGAGCATTGTCAACGCCAAGGGCAGCGGCTGAAAATCGACGCCAATGTCATCCGCCCAAGTCGATGCAGACCTCTGCGGCGCCTCTCCCGGCTCATCGCAACCGCCACGCATTTCCGCCGCTTCTCTTCCGCACGGCCCCGTCGGGAAATCAGGGCCTGTTTTTCGGCGAGTTGACGGCCGCCAACTGGCGGAAATGGGCGGCTAGCCGGTTGGAGCAGAAGGCGCAGCCACAGCACCCGTCCGGAAAGTGCATCACCGCTCGCTGAGCGAGTCGACGAAGCGCGAACTCTCGCCTTATTAGTACCAGGCGATCCGTCAGTTCGCGGTCCGTCAGTTCAAGTTCCGTCAGCACTCGGCCCACAGACGCCTCAGCCGGAAGGCCACTGTGAGGCGTGCTGTGAACGCCGCTCTGCTGGACACTGTGGCTTCCAGACTAACCGGCGTGGTCCCGCGTGCAAGCGCACAGGCGAAGCGCTTTTCGGCTGCGGTGCCACGTGGCAGCCCCTCATTCCGGGGCTGCCGGATGACGTGGCGGAACTGTGCCTCATCCAGCTTCCACGAACCTTCCTCCAGCAGTGCAGGTAGCGTGCGTATGGGGAGGGAGGGAGGGAGGGGGGGGGAGGACGAGACGCAGATGTGTGGGTTTGTGCGAGTCGGATGAGACGCCAATTAGGTGCCCTTATGTTGTCACGTGACCGCAACTTACTGTAAGATTCAGCACCTGCATTCTTGTGTAGGGAGGGGGGGGTTGATCAGCCTCCAGTGTACGACGAGACGGTGTGAGCGGGCGGTTGATGTGTGATCCACGCCACGTGTCTTTTCACCTCTTCTTCTCTCCCCCCTCCTCCTCTTTCCATCCCTCTCCTCTTGGTACTGGGTCAAAGAAATAGTTGAGATGGTATGCGAGTCCACTCAAAAGGGTCCTTTCCGTCCTTTTGTTCTCCATTCTCCGTCTCTCCTGTTCGCGTTGCTCATCCTTGAGGCGCCTAAAAATCTCTGCCGTTCGTCTCCCTCATCCTGTGTGCTCGACCTAACCCATGGCAAGTGAACCCCCGGAAGTTCCTACTCGGCCCGTGTTGCCAACTCTCCCTTCCCCTCCCTCTCCCATCCCTCCCCTTGTATCAACGCCAGGAAAGTGAACAGAACATGGAGGGAGTTTTTTAGACCAGCGCGCGCTGCCTGCGCCTTCGAACCGCCGCCAATCGCCTTGAGCCGTGGCTGTTCGTCCGGGCAGTCGGGCAGCCGAGGAAACATTTCGAGTGGCACACATTTGCGGAGAGTGCAGGATGGCGAAAGGTCCGCCGCCCGCCCTCTGCCAACCAGCTGCATTGTCTTGAGACGAATAAAAATAAAAACGGCCGCCCGCCCACTACCGACCATCCGGAGGGCTGTGCTGACCAATGGGAGGCGTCAGGGGGTGGGGTGTGTGGAGCTGGACAGGTGTCTGTACGTGATTGGGGGAACGGGGCCGGATCGCAAGAATCCGTTTGGCTGGCACTTTGAGGTAAGAGTGACTAGGTATGGTGAAGAGGGATGGAATCCTGGCACCCCCTCTCAGAAATTGTGCCCGTCATAGTTTCCAATCTCCCTACAGCATTCCCTTTGTTCTCCATTTTTTGTTTCTCCACATCTCTGTGCTCCACATCTCTGTGCTCCACATCTCTGTGCTCCACATCGCTGTGCTCCACATCGCTGTGCTCCACATCGCTGTGCTCCACATCGCTGTGCCCCACATCGCTGTGCCCCACATCGCTGTGCCCCACATCGCTGTGCCCCACATCGCTGTGCCCCACATCGCTGTGCCCCACATGCTGTGCCCCACATCGCTGTGCCCCACATCGCTGTGCCCCACATCGCTGTGCCCCACATCGCTGTGCCCCACATCGCTGTGCCCCACATCGCTGTGCCCCACATTCGCTGTGCCCCACATCGCTGTGCCCACATCGCTGTGCTCCACATCGCTGTGCTCCCACATCGCTGTGCCCCACCATCGCTGTGCCCCACATCGCTGTGCCCACATCGCTGTGGCCCACATCGCTGTGCCCACATCGCTGTGCCCCACATCGCTGTGCCCCACATCGCTGTGCCCACATCGCTGTGCCCCACATCGCTGTGCCCCACATCGCTGTGCCCCACATCGCTGTGCCCCACATCGCTGTGCCCCACATCGCTGTGCCCCACATCGCTGTGCCCCACATCGCTGTGCCCCACATCGCTGTGCCCCACATCGCTGTGCCCCACATCGCTGTGCCCCACATCGCTGTGCCCCACATCGCTGTGCCCCACATCGCTGTGCTCCACATCCTATCATCCCTCGTTTCTCCTGCCGGATCTTGTTTGTTTTTGGCCGCATCCCATTCCTCAGGTACGACCCCCAGACTGCCCGCTGGGCCTGCTTGGCCAATCTCATCACTCCACGCAGCTTCTTTGGCTCCTGGTCTGCCCGGGGAGAAATCTTCGTGGCGGGCGGCAATGCGGCAGAGCTTGAAGAGATCAAATCAGCGGAGGTCTTCCAGCCAGAGAGTGACATGTGGCAGTCCATCCCACCTCTGCCCTCGGCACTGTCCAGCTTTGGGGCGGCGTGCTTTGGCGGGACTCTGTTTCTGACGGAAGGGTGGCAGTGGCCGTTCCACTTCTCACCTCGTGGATTCTCCTGTCCTCTTTATAAGCTCTTCCGGGATAAGGGAAGGGAGGACCTTAGTGCGCCAGGTAGAACGGGAGAAGTTTCGGGAGGTTGGAGAGGAGCGGAGGGAGGGGGAGAGGGAGGGGAGACGTAGGGTAGGAGAGATTCAAGGATTTGAAAACCCTGGGGGAGAGGCAGCAACAGGAGTTGGTGAGCGTGGTGGGAGGAGGGCATTGGAAGGCAGTGATGAGGCTGTCGCAGCAGCTGAAGCAACTGAGGATGTGGATGTGGAAGGGCCGTGGGAGTCCATGCGCGAGGGGCATGGCGGAGGGGTGGACAGGAGTGGGTGCCGTGGTGCACGGGACGCTTGTCACGCTGGTGCAGGAGGGGCAGACGCGCAGGTACGTGCTGGGTGTGGTGCGTGTGCTGGTAATTCCGTTTGGTGCCCCATGCTCTGACTCATGGACAGGTGGTCCTGTGGTGGTGGCATGCTTGACACTCTGGTGCAGGTGGGGCAGACTGGCACTCTGGTGCAGGTGGGGCAGACTCGCAGGTGCGTTCATGGTGCGGTGAGGTGCGTTGTTGGGTGGGTCACAACAGCATGGGCATGAGTGGGTGCCATGAATGCTCCACTGCTCCACTGCACCCACTCGCATGAATGCTCGCGGGTCACAGGTGGTTGAAATGGAGCATTCATGGCGCCCTTATCCATGACACGCCAGATGCATGTTTTTTTAGAGTTCCGAAAGAAAGAAAGGAAGGAAGGAAGAAAGAAAAATAGTAAGAAAGAAAGACAGAAAGAAGGAAAGGCAGAAGGAAAGAAAGAAAGAAAGAAAGAAAGAAAACTATGTGCTGGTGATTTGCAACAGCTGCTTCTTTTCTTGGATAACGTCCTCTTCCTGCCCCTGGACCGCTCTCCCCCTTTTTGGCTCTCCCCCTTTTTGGGCATACTTCCCCTTGCCGCCAGCCTCTTTTCCTATTGCCCGGGTACTGACAAGTGGCAGCAGCTCATTGGCCCACCATTGCCCCTATTCCTGCGCCCACCCCTGCGTATAACCGTGGGTGCGACGATTCTCTTTTTTGTCATTGGGCGAGGGTTGGAGGTGGTGGTGGGGAAGATAAGCAAGGAGGTGGTAGGAGGTGTTGCACGATGGGTGCTAATTCGTCGGCGGAGGCGCGGGGAGTTTGAGGAATTTCGAAGTGGGTAGTGAGAATGGGGGCGAGAAGCACAGCAACCAGAAGAATGGGGCGTGCAGAGGGAGAGTGGCAATGGCTACACATATGAGGAGACTAGGCTCCGGGTTGACTGGTTGTAGCAACGAGGAGATGTTTCTTCGTCAAAACTTGCTCCAGATGCATGTGTTGTTGTAGTGATGTGATATTCTTGATTCAGTTATGTCAATGCAAGCCTTAGTGGAAGGTTTTAACAGGGTTTTTCCTGAGTCATGCATAAAATGTTAAAAACCGAAAACGGGTGCCATGTTATGTTGCAACTTCCCTTCGCCCTTGTGTTAGTGAGGCGATGTAACATTACGTTAGTGAGGGAGTTGTGCAACATCCGCAGAGTCAATCAATAACGAGTATTTTCAGGTTGAGTGAAACGTGACGGCATGAACCAGGGTGCCGGCTGACCTACGGGGCGGAGGAAACTGGCACCTCACCTCGCCCAGCCTCACCTCCCCTCGTCTCCCGTCGCCAGGGCAGCTCCTGGTGGAAAAACATTTTTTCACCAACCAACCATTCAATCACGTGAGAAACTGCAAGCCGACAGCTTTGCCGGTGAAGAAAGCCACGGCACGGCAGCCGCTTGGCACTTCCTTGAGCAATTGGTGTGTTGCTCCCAAAACCCGAACGCCTCCTGCGAAAGGGTTTCACACCATCCATTCAATTTTCGTCAAATTGCAAGCCGACAGAATCGCTCCTCGCACGCGCGGTTTCACATGTCGTTCAATCTCGCCAAACAGCAAGCCGACAAATGTGCCGGTCCGCGCCATCTGCCCGCGCCCTTCGTGGCGTGTGCCACATCACCCACCCACTCGTCCGTAATTTTTCCAAACGTCACGGGCACGCGAAAACGCGTCCAGAACCGCTTGTTCTCCCCCAACCACATCTGAACCAGTCAGGAGCGCCGTGTGCCAGTGGAATCTACGGCTCGACGAATCAGGATTCGGATGCGAGCTTGCGACTGCGGCTACAAAATCTGCCCCTGCATTGACCTCCATCATCCAAGTTGTTTCCTCGTCCCATCCACAACTTCGTCATCACATTTTCCCGTCAGTCAGCTGCGCCATTCATACACTCCATGAAAAACAGGTGCTCAGACACACAGGAGACAGTACTAATCTAAGGCAACGGCGACACTTGTGCCACTCTGCTCCATAGCATTGTCTCTCAGCTTACCCTAATCTCCGCCCTCCATCGCCATTTTCAGCCGCATTCCCACCCACGCTACGCCTTCCATCCGCTTCACTCGCTACCACCGTCAAACGACCGCATTATGGCCGCCACTCAGCAGCCCTCTGCTACGACCGTTCCAGCCGCGTCGTCCGAGTCTTGGGAGGACGCGATGCGCACCGAGCTCGCCGCGTGGTTCGCCGACTCCGACTGGACCGACGAGGCGCCGTCAATGACGGTTTCCGTCGGATCTAACGCCCTCTGTCAACTTAACGGAGTCGCGACCGTCGGCCTTCCGCCGGACGCGGTCTTCTCGATCGTCTGCGACCCGCACAACCGCCGCGTCTTTAAGAACATCAAGTCCGTTAAGAACGAGCGCGTCATTAGTGACTGTAACGGGGTGAAGGAGCTCGAGATGGACATGGTGTTCACGTTCCAGCTGCCCTTCTTTACAGGCACGTTCGAGGCGCACATGCGCATGGTGCACGACCGCCCGAACCGCAAGATGTCCTTTGCCCTTACGCGCCCCGGCCTCATGCGCAAGTTCGAGGGCTTCTGGCAGGTCGAGCAGCTTGTAGTCCCCGTTTCCGCCGCTTCCGCTTCCGCTGCCTCCGCCACTTCCGCCACTTCCGCATCATCCGCCTCTTCCGCTTCCGCCGCCACTTTCGCTCCCCCCTCCCCGCTATCCGACTCCTTCCGCTCCGACAGCCTCGGCGAGAGCGACTGGGACAGCAGCAGCGCCAGCAGCAGCAGCCCGAGCCGCGACTTCACCACCACAGAGCCCAGCGCAGATCTCGCCTCATCCCGCGGCGCGCGCGTGGCGTCGCGGCTGGTGCTGCATCAGGTGGTGCAGCCGTCCGTGGCGCCGCCCGCCATCTTCAAGCGGTGCATCCACATCGTGCTGCAGATGGCCACTAAAGACGTGCTGAGCGTCTTCCAATGCGAGGCCAAGGCGATTAGGAGCCGCAAGGGGCAGCAGGAGGAGGGGACGCGAGGAGGCGAGGGGAAGGAGGAGAAGAAGGGAGGAGGGAAGAAGAAGGACGGAGTGGAAATTAAGGCCGCTGCTGTGGCGGGGGCTGTGGCTGGGGCTGTTGCCGGTGCTGTTGTGGGTGCTGCTGCTGGGGTTGCTGTCGCAAAGAATGCCGATTCAATCACGCTCGCATCTCGCGTGTGGGGACTCATGAGGAGCACAGCTTAGGCGTGTCAATAGACCAACGTGGCGCGCTCTCTGCAGGAAGTGAAGGGAGAATGCGTGTGCTGCTGCTGCTTCCACCGTTGGCGCTCGCCGCGGGTGATTTGCCGTGTTGTTCTGGGGAATAATTGTTTGTAGGTGCGTGCCGTCGCTCCGCACCACGTCCGGGGGCTCTACCTTGGTGCTTGCTCTGGGTTGTGTTGTGTGTGTTCAACAGGCATTGGGCTCGCTGTCTGCGACTGTTGAGTCAGAAGCTGTGAGTCAGAGGCGGCGGCAATAGGCAGCAGATGTTGGGTTGTGTGTCAGAGCTCAAGGCTTTGGGATGCCATCATGCCATCATGACCCTCCCAACTCTTTGAACCCTGATTTCTTTACGTTTCTTTAGAATTTTGTACATGGTTAGTGTAATAATTTGACAGGTGTTGCAGGAGACTAAGTACAGAATCTGCAAACATGAACACTTGGAAAACCTCAAGTGTCAGCCTAGGAACTTTACTGGAATGGTAGACTAGTAAGACAGCGGAAGTCTTGTAAAAGTGAACCTGAGTATATAATTCTGGGGAAGTCAAGGTCAAAATTCTTCGAAGTTGAAATCTCAAGGTTAATAAAAAAAAGACACCACAAGGATTTATAGCTCTAGAAAAAGTACCTATTTGCTAATGCACTTGTTCGTCACTATCGCGCTATGCGCCCTAGATGATAATGAAGATATGCGACTGTTCGCGTGACTGAAACGACTGTCCTATGAAGAGCGCTATTTGCTGACGTCATCCTACGGACTTATCTTCTTCAGTAGGATTCGACACGATCTATCGATAAACGACATACAGAAATGCTAAATATGAATTATACCACAACACTCCCCTTCATTTCTGGAAGTCCGATAGTGTCACTTCTTGAAGATCCCGCAAAGCTTGTTACAATACTGAAACTTCTGTCGTGTCAGCTTCTTCGTGAAGAAATCGGCAGCCATTTCGTTGGTCGAACAGTAGACCAATCGCATCCTCCCCTTCTCGACTTCACCATTGACGAAAAAGTAACGCAGTGAAGTATGTTTCGTCCTGTTGATGAAGCCAGGCTGATGCGCGATGCGAATTGCACTTTGGTTGTCGCACTGCAGAATAAACTGGGTACTCGTCGTCAACTTCGCTTCTTCCAATAGTTCCTGCAGGTTAAGTCCTTCGCGTGTTGCTGTGCAAACAATGATAAATTCAGCTTCAGCAGAGGAGAGAGCAATCAACTCCTGCTTCGTCGAATTCCAAGAAATAGGCCCGATAGGTTTAAGCCGGTAGATGAACCCAGTACGTGAGCGTCGATTAGTAGTATCAGCAGCGCGATCGGTGTCGACGAAACCGTGTAGGTACAAGGTTTTACAGCCGATGACGTTGTAGACTAATCCGACGTCAGGTGTCGAGACGAAATACTGAGGCGCACAAAGAAGATCGAGGTGATGTTCTTCTTCAGGTCGGCGTAGGAACTGAGCGAGCTGACTGGCCGCGTAAGCTAGATCTGGACGACAAGTAACAGCGGCGAAGAGTAGACAGCCTAACTGCTATTGCTAGGTCTGTAAATCTGTTGGACTTAACGGTGCAGTATTCGGTTTGTGGTCAGTCTGTAGTGAGCGGTACGGTGTAGAGACTGCAGTAGGAGTGAGGTTGAAGCGGGCAGCGGGCGTCGCTGCGTACTTCGAAGCAGTGAGGTGAATAGACGTCGGTGAACAGGTAATGTTTAGACCGAGAAACTGTGAGACTGTTTCGGAGACGGTAAGCTGTAGAGTTTTCTGTAGTTTCAGTATGAAGGTATCGGCAAGGGAATCGGTAGTACTGACGTAGAGGATATCGTCGACGTAGGTGACGAGTAAAATATAGTTGCTGCCGTCAGTTAGAAGATACATTCCTTGATCATGCGGCAATTGTCGAAATCCGATAGCGATAAGCTGTGAGTGAAGGTACTGTTGCTAGAGCCGGGGTGCCTGTTTAATGCCGTATAGCGATTTTTCGGAGACGGCATACGCTCGGTGGGTTAGTAGCATAGGAATGCGGGTACTCTACCAGTATGAGTGCGTCGACGGGTGCATAGAGAAATGCGTTTGCCACGTCGATTTGTCGAAGTCGTAGATTACGGCAGGCGAGGACACAGAGTAAAATCCGAACACTTGTATGTCGACCGACATGAGCAAAATTTAGCTCGTAGTCGATGCCGTAAGTCTGCTCGAACCCGCGGACGACCCATCGCGCCTTGAACTTCTCGAACGACCCATTTGCATTAGTTTTGACGCGGAAGACCCATTTTCCGGTGAGTACCTTCTTCCCTTTTACTTCTGATGTCAGTATTAACTCCCATGTGCCATAACTCTTGAGAGCTGCTACCTCCCTGTCCATGGCTTCACGCCATTTTTCGCGGTGTGGACTCGTAAGAGCTTGTCGAACGGTTTTCGGTTCAGGTATTTTGCTGTCGTTGTACCGTACTGCTACTGCGAATCCAAGTATCTGTAAGCCGGTTTCTGTAAAACGTGGACGTTCTTCGTTTGCACCTGCGAAATTTTCTTCTGCTCCTTCTTCCCCCCCAATTTTGTCAGGTGTAACACGAACTACTTCGTCGGAGACGACGGGCATCGGCTGCTGTTGACGATCGTGTTCGTAACTGAGGTGGACTTCGCGAACGTCATCCGGGTCAGCATCTGCAAGAGGAATAAATTCCGGGACGCTAGTCAACGTAACAGGTTTGGGAATATCCGTTGCGGCAGCTTCTGAGGCTTCATATACTGCTTTGTCCTGTACATCAGCTTTGGCTTTGTCAGTTGCAAAAGCACGCGAGCCTTCGAAC